TGGGGTGGACCGGGGGGTGGCGGAGCGGGCCATGCTGGTAGCCCGCCGTGCTGCTTTGCGACAGCAGCGTGTGCAGGCTCCCGTTGCTCTTGGACAGCTTCTGCCCCTTGGATGAGGACAGGCCCTGCATGGAGACCAGCCCCTTCCCGGCCACCGCCTTGAAGGCTGAGGGCCTGATACGGCACTGAAAAACAAGAGCGGGGGCAGGATGAGCCCAACAGCCCCCACCAGCACATGCAGGCGCCCAGAGCCAGGGAGAACCTGCTCGGTCCCAGCCCATATCCCTGGACATCCTCAAATCCCCACATCCCAACCAGGGCACAGATCGTTCTGCTCCAGCCCCATCCCCTCACAGAGCAGGACCTATTTCGGGGCCCAGCATGGCACCCACAGCCTCACCTTGTCGAAGCGGCCCCTCTCGGGCAAGGAGCTCTTGGAGAAGTCGGCCCCACGGTGATGCTCACGGGAGCAGCGCTCAGGGGACCGGTTCTCACGGTCGCTCTCGTAGTCCCGCTTGTAGGAGGCACCCGACGTCTGGTGCTTCCGCTCTGACCGCATCTCCTTCTTGGCCCCATGCAGGTAGCCAAAGAGCTCCCGCTGGCTCGGCCCCTTCCGCACTTTCGAAGCCCCCGCGAGCCCCCCAGCGGGGCCCGCAGCTCCAGGGGGGACAGATCCTGCTTCTCCACCAGGCTGCCCACACTGCCCATGCTGCCAACAACGCCAACGGGCTCCAAGGTGAGGTAGGTGCCAAGGATGCGGGTGTCGGGCTCACAGGTCACAGGACCCTGTGCTGCTGCCATGGAGAATTAGAGAAAAGCCCGGTACCAGCACTGCCAAAGGAGAGACAAAGTCGCAGCTCCAGGGGGGACAGATCCTGCTTCTCCACCAGGCTGCCCACACTGCCCATGCTGCCAACAACGCCAACGGGCTCCAAGGTGAGGTAGGTGCCAAGGATGCGGGTGTCGGGCTCACAGGTCACAGGACCCTGTGCTGCTGCCATGGAGAATTAGAGAAAAGCCCGGTACCAGCACTGCCAAAGGAGAGACAAAGTCAGC